TGATTGTGACTTACCATTGAATGTTTCTTACTCCTGATATATATTCATCTTTTCCAGCTCTTAGTCCAGACAACGATGGTAAGCCTCCTGAAAAATACGTCGGAACTGTGCGACCGCCCCCTTACAGCTGGCCAGATAGACTTGAGTGGTCGCGATTAAAACAAGAGGGTTTTTGTCCATCAGTTCTGTTGGGGTGTTACACAACCAACAACTAGAGCAAACCGAAAGTTACCCAACAGGAAAATAATTTCAAGGTCAGGCCGATATCAAAGTTCTTCAATTGCCATGATGGACATATTATTCATGCCCCCGAAAACTACCAAACTGCAAACTTCAATTTTTTTATTGTACATATCGTTATTTTTTGAAACTTTTGTTATTATTTTCCCTTAGAAGTGAGGTTTTTTTTAACTTAAAACAAACTCTCAATTCGCTCTCTTTTGGCTAACCAGGCATCCGAAGCAAATGAAGTCAAAGTGCAGTTGAAATTGACGAGTTTGTTTTAGGTTTTTTTCCTGAGTTCAAGGGGGACTGACAGTGCCCAAGGGGCGCTACAATAAACCTATTCTATTCTATTCTATACGTTCCGAAATGACCAAGAGCGATGAGAAGTAGAGCTCACCCCCTGTAACTCCTTCTCATTTTGTCCCATCATTATGGGCGTGTTCGAACTATTTCAGCCCAGAACATCTATCTGTACATCACACATTTTTTACGTTGCAAATAGGGTACTCAAAGGCTTGCGCCTATTTCCCTCAATAAACTGAACTGAACTGAACTGTATTATCGTCGGTTCTTTGATATTTTTTGCTTTTTGTGCTCTTTTATCCTATTTGTTGATATATTATCGTTGCGTGTAACAAATAGGGAATTCAAAGGAACGAACCTGGAGCCCTCTCACATAAACTGAACTGTAAATTTGTGTGAAGTGCTCCGGACATCCATATTTCCACATACTTTACCAGCGTCCATCGCTATTTGTTGTATCAAAGACCTTCATTTAATCAAAGAAGGCGATTTTCTACCTAACTGACGAAAGATGGAAATAACAGTAAATAAGAATTAATAAATCTGCCTTTAATCTGCATGCTTGACTGTAGTTCGTGGACATGAGATTCGGCTAGCAGTTAACATGAAGTAGTTAAATTCGTCCTTCTGGTCGCACGGAAGAATAGAAATGAGCACAAAACGGAAGACACTATAGTTCCTCTCGAATCCCCTGGAAACCGTGCTTGACATTCGGTGACGTCTAAAGGACAGGCTCCGTAAATACGTTCGTCTTCGTGCCAACACGCAGGTCGGCCGGAGCAAGAAGAAGGAAAGGTGCACCCAAAGAAGTGCAGGTGGATGTCATAATCAAAATGTACGCTTGCATAGGTTGATCTGCGACAGACCTGAAATAACCTTTTTCAATTTAACGTTTCGCACATGGAACCGTTAAAAATGCATAAAATTAAATTTAATATGTTTTCCACGTTATCACAGGGCTATCAAAAGTGCCCTGAAACTATTCGATCAAAGCCTACTGGGTTCCTGTGTCTCGATGTCCTCATCATCTACCGACCACCTAGGACAAACCAGATCGCTGGCACTCATCTGTTGGAACAAGTAGAGAAATTCTTCAGTCGACCCGATGTCGCAAACGCAGGCGAATTCAGCGAATCAGGAATTAACCGGAACACTGTCCAAGCGTAATGATTAAATTCGACCTTCGACCGCCGTCTGTTATATAAAATATTAAGGACGCTACTCACACAACATATAACGTTTCGAACGTAAACACGTGAACGACAAACGGTCAGCTGCACTTCTCCGAATAGACAACTGCCGACATCACGCTAAAGCTCGACTGTCACAAGCGACGACTACCACCACGTGTCGAACGATATGGGCGCAGAATAAGACAGGCTTGCAGTGGATCTACAGCACCCTCTCCTCCCTCATCTACCCTACCCAAGAGGGTAAGAAAATTTACAGGCGACCGAAGGTGACCACAGATCCGGTGATTGAAACAGTTAAGCAAATTGCTTATGCTTGCCACAGACGGTCTGGACATCACACGGGAACCTGTAAAGCACCTGGTGGTGGTATTAGTGCAGTAGTTGGCGCGATTTAAGGACCTTGTTTAGACGTGCGCCCACATTATCCCCCAAATGTTCGACAGAACTTGTGGCTTTGCGCAGACTTATTACAGCACGTTGTGGGGCGCACCAGTGTACATATATGTTTTACCACATCGGCTATAGCCAAGAGTGCACTTTAATTAATGCAAACCCCAGTCCGGACCCTAAGGGAAAAAATAAAAAATAAGCACAGCACTAGGAGGAGAATTGTAATTTCTCCAAAAATAAGTAATAATGTTTGAAGCGGACCACGCAAGGGACGTGCGTCCTACATACCAGGTCAGCCCTGAGCCACTAAGCATTTATTGAGAGTTAGAGGAAAATTCCAAAAAGATCATCTCAGGTCACTAGGCTCCCGATCGGAGTACTAGTTAATATCCTAGGCATGTGTTTCGCGGCTTAAGTCAGCGGCCGCGCCGTCGACCATGGGAACCCATGGTCGGAAGGCTATGTTATCCAGGAAAATATCGTCATTAAGCAACCTATCATAGAGTTGTTGCATAAAGGTCTAATGCGCAGTTTAGAGTAGTCTGAAAACTACGCGAAAAAAATCCGAAAGAGGTTAGCGGCGTGCTTAGACTTAATTTTCAAAGTAGCATAATCGGCAACTTGAAGGAAAAGGCAACTTAAAGTGAGGAAAGGCAGCGCTGTAGGACAGCCTTTGCTGAGATGAGAGGGCCTGCACGCAGATAAGCAGGCGGCGGGACTAAGTGCTTTCTTTACCGGAGTAACAATTCTTGGGGTTGTTAGCCCCGGCGTAGGATATATGTGTAAGTCTAGCTTTTGTTTGACTGCAGATAATCAGCGAGGGATGCTGCTACCATTTGCGTCAAGCATTCGCTACTGTAAGGCCGAGTCTCGTAGGTCTCAAGTAACGAAGTAGCAGGGGTAATTAAAGGCGTCATGGGTGAGCGGCTACGGTCTTCATGCGGCCCACCTGTTGCATATAGGATTCGCGCCTGAGACTATTACGACGCGTCAAGCGCGGTGGCTCGGAGGGCTGCTGACTGACGCCTGTTCAGCTTGTGTGTGTTTATTTGGAGTAGCGGACTGGGTGACCGAGAGCCAGGGTGAAGGGTCTCCTTCTCAACGCGACCTACAGCACTCTCACGCTCGTAAGATAAACGCTGTCGAACCACTTTTGTGTAAAATCCTGGTGCTTGTGCTTGAGAGACCAGGTAGTGCACGTGGCGCGTAGACAACGTCGCCAGACCTGTCAGCCATCACGACATTTTCGGCATCCGTCAATTGACCAGCTTGGTCTGTGACTCGGGCCTGAGAATAAGAAGGGAGAGTGAGGTAGATGACTAAGTGCATTTTCCTCACTACAAAAAATCTGACGTGCTTGAAGCCATCACGCTGCTCAAAAAGCCGTGGCTTAGAAGGTTGCCAACTGACGGGATGTCTTGAACTTTGCAGTCGGCCCAGTGTTGTGTGTTTATGTGGAGCGGCTGACTGTTTGTCCAAGAGATGGGCTGCAATTGTCCTAACAAAAGTGGTTCTAAAGGTGGCTCAATTCTAACCGATGCCTTAAATTCCTGATCTGACATACGCGTTAGACTATGGCTGTGGTCGCACCATCACAAAGCGCGCTTATCTGACTGCGCTGATTCTGCGAGACCGTCGTAAATACGGTCGGCCTAAATAGAAGTGTAGGCATTCATGCCGCGCTATCCATTGGGTAGAGTCCTGTTACTAGTTAATCGACAACTTCAAACTGTAGAGTGGCGAACGGGGAAGGAAGGGAAAGTTAGGTTAACACAGCAAACAATCTATCCGTATGGCATCCGACATTCTTGAACCTGTAGCGACGCATTAAACGTCATGACTTGAAACTCTGTCAACTGACTGCCAAGCGTAGACATAAAAATATGCACTTCACAAAGCACTGTTTACCTTGGAATTTTAAACAGTGCAGATCCCAGAAAAAACGAAAGTTGTTTCAGCCACTTTTTTACTGGATGCATTTTTGGCCTTACTTGACAGGTCGATAACTCAAACTTCTGCCCCAGTAATATGCGTTGAATTAATGGCTCGTGACCAAGATATGAAATAAACTTCTTACTTCGCGTATCTAGATTGAAATTGTTCAAAGTCGTCTTCGAATTCGAGCTTGCAAGAGATAAAACCTGTCCTATTAGGCCAACTTTACTCGCAGTGGTCCGATACTTTGAATGC